GACTTTGCGAGCCGCCGGGAAAAGCGGGCGCCGGCGGCTTCGCCGTCGCAGCCGCCGCTCCACGGAGAGCGCCTCAAGGATTCATCAGATTCGTGCCCGCATTGTTCCATGTCTGGAATGTCTTGCAAATTCATCATGCGGAACTGGCCCTTCCCCTGTCGCGGGTTCAATGATGGCAGGGCCAGCTGCTGCATCGCCTTCAGACGTCGGCGGGCGGCGCGGGGGGGCCTGATCGGCTAGAGCTTCCCGGGGCCGCGACGCCCCTGTGCCCACCAGAAGCGCCGCTCGCCCTCTCTCGCGCGCCCCCCCCCTCAGGCCAGAGCCGCCCCCCCTCGACGTCGGCTGGCGCGGCGCGCGGTCGCGAAATCTCCGCCGCGCGGGCGACGCAGCGCCCGCGCGACTCGACTGGCCCTTCTTACACGAGGACCGCCCCCTACTCGCCACGGGGAGAACGTGCGCGCGCTTGCAGGTCGAACGAAACCTCGGAGCCACATCCCCGTCGCCACGAAGAGCCCCTCTTGGGGCGCTCTGCGCGCCCGCGGATTCCACGCCCATTCGCCTCTGAATTGGGCCCCCGCGGCCGACGTCGCCCGGCCGCGCAAGACCGCCCTGGGGGGAATTAGAATCTGCCCCGAAGCCTTCGATTCGCCGCTCGCGCGCGCTCCAGCAGCGCGGCCCGACGGGGCGGCGGCCGCGGCTCGGCGCCGGGGATTCAGGCGCTCCCAAAATGCTCCATCTCGGCGATCTGGGGCGGCGGCGACCCGGCGGCGGCCTCTCCCGCCGCGCGCCCGAGGCGCGCGTGATCGATCGCCCCCACCTCCCTCTGGACATGAGTCGGGAGTCGGTCTCGCGGTGCCTGGCCCCCCCCCCGAGCGCGAGGGGCGGGCCGCCGAGGGGGGCGCCTGCGCGAGCGAGCGCAGGTTGCCCATCTGGGCGCCCAAGGGCCCGCGGGGGCGATGGGCTCGGCTGGCTCCCCCAAGGCAGGTCTCGCCACCAATCCCGCCTCGCGTGGAGCAGGTCCTACTGTCATCTAGGCATGATTCAAAACCGGACTCGCTCGTGAACCTGCTGGTTCTGTCGGGGTTATGACTGGCGATGGCTGCTCCGCCGGCATCGCCGGTGGCGCTGGAATCGCACGCGGCGCTGGGTCCGCCGCCCGGCCCAACGGTGCATCTGGGGCCTTTCGCACCGAAGCAGGCGCGCGCGGCGCTGGCATCGCGCCCCCCCCCCGCCGCTTCTGGCGCGCGGGACCCCCCGGCAAGTCGTGGGCCGAGCCTGCGCCCAACCAATCATTGAGCTGAACATCCGGCCCCGTCTCCCCTGCTTGTCGCTCATCGCCTTCAAGTAAACTATAAACTCGATGGGTCACTGCCCTGGCTGCGCCTGCCCATGCCGCATCTGCTGCTGCGCCCGCCCAGGTTTCATATGCTGCTGCATTTGCGCGTGCGGTTGCATCTCTTGCCAGATCTGCATCCGCTGCTGCATCTGCCCTGGCTGCGCCATTTACTGCACCTGCCGCTACCTAGGCCGCGTGTCTCGTTGGTTCAGCGGGTGCATTTCCTCCGGCTGCGCAGGCGGTTGCTGCCAACTAAGGTCGCTGCTGCGGAGGCGCCTTCGCTGCCGCCGTAACTCCAGCGAGCTGCCCCGCCGAAGATGCGAATGATGGATGCGCGGAGCCTCTGACCCCGTGCATGTTCAAATGTGGCGGCCCCTCTCGTGCAAAACCCTATTAATACAACAGATGTTTCTGCTGTCTTCCATCGTCGTGCGTGGCTACGTCCTCAGGCTCGTCCGGCTTTTCGTTCGCCTCGTTCAAACAGCTTTCCAAATCAACGATATCCAGTTCGACGTTTTTTTAGCTGGTTTGTACGATTTCATGCGATTCCCGGCGCTGGCGAACTGATCGCTTGCCGTGCCCGGCTTGAAGCTGACGCCCCACTCTTGATCTCTGGCAAGAGCCGATCTGTTCGGTGCCTACTTCAACGCCATCAACTCAAATGTCGCGTCTGTCCTTAACGCGCCGGGGGTCTGACTGGCTAGGACCCAAAGGAGAAAACTACAACAAACAGTTTCCGAGAACTTCCCACATGAATCCCCAACATCTGTCCGAAGTGCCCTCGGAAATTTCCGGAAAATATCGGCCCCCGGAAAGAAGCATTTACAGAGTCAGCAGTGCGTGCGCGAGGAGTGTCTCTAAATCGGGTGACCCAAATAGCCCAAGCAGCTCAAGTAGCCCAAGTAGTCCGAATAGCCTAAACAGCCCAAGTAGCCCAAATAGTCCAAGTGGCCCAAGTAGTCCGAGTAGCCGGAGTAGTCCCAAAAGTCTCGAGCGGCGGCGCACCAGTGGCGAGGATGTTTCGAATGACCGGAAAAGCCCAAGTAGAGGGCTGACTCAACTAGCCCAAGTAGCTCAAGTAGCCAAGGTTGTGAGGATGTCTTGAGCGGCGGCGCCAGAGTTGCTGGATGCCTCGAGCGGCTCAAGTAGCTCCAATAGAGGGCTTGGCCCAAGAAGCCCCAGTAGCCCAAGTAACCCAAGTGGCCCGAGTAGCCCAAATAGCCCGAGTAGCCTAAGTAACCCAAGCAGGGAGTTGACCCAAGTATCCCCAATCGGCTAAGCATTCCAAGTAGCCCAGCACGGCGAACGCAGAATCACACCTCGCCAACCAGCAACATCAGACTGCCTCGCGTGCCGAGCGATACGCCGATTCGGGTCAACGCGGTAGCGGAATCAAGCCGAATCAGACGAAGCGGAAAACGCCAGAATAAAAAGTCACCTCGGGCCTCTCGCTGATGTTTTTCTGGCCCAAAAGAACCGTTGCCCCAACTAGCGCAAGTAGCCAAAGTTGCGAGGATGTCTCACGCGGCGGCGTGCGAGTTGTGATGATATCCCGAGCGACCAAAGAAGCCCAGAGGAAAAAGTCACCCCGAGCCCCCCAGTGACTTTTTTCGGCCCAAGTAAAGCGTTGCCCCAACGAGCCCAAATAGCCGAAGTTTCGAGGATGCCCCGAGAAACGGCGCACGAGTCGCGAGGATGCCCCGGGCGGCCCAAGTAACCCAAACACAGGGTTAACCCAAGTAGCCTAAGTAGCCCGAGTAGCCAAAGCTGTGATGGTGTCCCGATCGGCGGCGCCATAATTGCGAGGATGTCTCGGGCGACTCCAGCAGCCCAAGTGGAAGATTGACCCAAGTAGCCCAAATATCCCAAGTAACTAAAAACGCGCGGATCTCTCGGGCGGCGGCGTCAGAGGTGCGAGGATGTCTCGGGCGGCACAAGTAGCCCAAGTAGAGAGCTGACTCAAGTAGCCCAAGTAGCCAAAGCTGTAAGGATGTCTCAAGCGGAGGCGTGGGAGCTTCGAGAATGCCTCGAGCGGCCCAAGTCGCCCAAGTAGAGGGTTGGCCCAAGTAGCCCAAGTAGCCCAAGTAGCTAAAGCTGTGAGGATGTTTCGGGCAGCGGCGCACGAGTTGCGAGGATGTCTCGAGTGGCCCGAGTAGCTCAAGTAGAGAGTTGACCCAAGTAGGCCAAGTAGCCAAAGTTGTGAGGATGTCTCAAGCGGCGGTGCCAGGATTGTGAGGATGCCTCGGGCGGCTCAAGTAGCCCAAGTAGAGGGTTGACCGACGTAGCCCAGGCACAAGTAGCGCGGCGCCAGAAATGTGAGAATGTCTCGGGCGGCTCCAACAGCCCAAGTAGAGGATTGGCCTGAGTAGCTCAAGTAGCCCAAGTAGCTAAACTTGTGAGGATGTCTCGAGCGGCGGCGCCAGAGTTGTGACGATGCATAGAACGGCCCAAGTAGCCCAAGTAGAGAGCTTGGGCTACTTGGGTTAATCCACTTTCAAGACACGCCTGGCGCACGCAATGAATGTCTGCGCAAAAATATTTCCGAAACATGTCAGAACTATTTCGAAACCCCGGGAGATGTCCAGCACATCTCTGGCCACTGGAACACATTTCCAAAATACTTCCAGAAAATATGTGCAAACTATGTATGTCCAAACTATGGCTAAAAATATGTCAGACACATCTCCAACGTATTTCGAGGGCATTTCCAGGCGATTTCCGGCCCCACGGGGATATATCCAGAAAGCTCCCGGAAAATGTCCGGGGGAACTCTTTGGGAAATCGTTTGGACACCCGTTGTCAATTATTTATGAAACGCCTACCGCCCGATTCCAGCGCATTATAAGCCTGTTCGCATCCTCATCACCAGTGACCCCCTCGACCATGGGGGCCAGATAAGCCGGCTTCTCCATATGGCGGTTCATCACCATCTCGAAGCCAGGCAACCCCGACGTTCCGGAGGGGGAGGCGGGGGCGCCCCGTATGCCGAATGAGTCCCCGCCGCCCCGGGAGGCATGGGGGCCAGCCCCCCGATGCAGCCCCGAACCATCCCCCCAGACTGGCGCCCCGCACGTTGACCCCCCGTCCTCGGAGCTCATCTAGACTGGTTCTGAATGTAATACGGCCCGCGCAAACACTGCGTGTGCCGATTCGTCACATCCCGGTTGCAACATTCACATGTCCACGTATTGAATGTCATCAAACTGCCATGGTTATCGAGGAGTCATCTCGACGAGCGGGGCGCCACCAACAATCTGGCATGATATCCTGTTGCCCGCTGCCTTCTATGCTAGACTTTCTCTAGCTTGTCCCGTTTTGCGACAGAGAAAGACATCGTACCTGGTCGCGGCGCTCATCCTGAGCACGCGCCTGGGGTCTGGCCTGGAGAGCGACAGTGCAGTGAGACAGTACAGTATCGTTTGTGCCCTGTGGGATCTCAAGCCGGCACCTTTTCATCCTCTCCCTCCTCCTCTCTTCTTCCTCCTCCTCCCCATCTTCCTTCTCCTCCTCCTCCTCCTCCTGCTCCTCCTTCTTCTCCTCCCTACCCACCCTCCCCTACCTGAGCCCCCCCTCGGTTCCCTCGTCAGCGCTCCTCCTCGGGCCCCATGTCGACCCTGGTCCTCTATCCCCCCTCATCCTGCGCCTCCTTCGTCTCAATGGGCACTTGCTGATCCAACTAAAAGATCGTCTGCTCCCCCATGGCACGGCCACCCAGAGTTGTAGCAGTCGCAGGACACGAGCACACTCATCGCCGCTGGACGCGAATCTATTTATCCTTCCAGCGTCTCCATCCAGAGAGGTACTTTTAATAGCGGCGGTCACTGGGGTTGTATGGGCCCCAACATATGCGCCACCCAGTTGGATCCTTCCCGTGAGGCCTCTCTCTCGCTGTCGATGCCACCGGCCTCGCCTTGATTGCAATAGGCGCGTGCGATCCGCCAAGGCGCCTCTGCGGCGCCCTCGTAAAAAAAAGTCTTCCAGATGGGGTCCGGGTGGACGGGGTCGGAGTACCGCGCCGCATCGCCAATGCATCGCCGATGCATGGGTGACGTCGACGAGGCACTGGCGCCCCGGAGTGGAACAATTCTGGCTCCACATCGAGCCGCGTCGTCGCTGCATCGGCGATGCGGAGAGATCCTTCGACCCCGTCCGCTCGGAGATGGGAGACCTGGACTTGGGGGGTTGTCAGCATTCTACAGGGCCAGGTCCGTTCAGGAACCAACATCGACTTTGAATCACCCCTCCAGGTTCCTGATCGCAGCGCATTCCGAGGCCTAAGGCCCTTGCGGGGGCCCGTGTGGCCCCAAGCTACCAGGATAGCTGCTCAAAATGGCCCAAGACAGCACCAAGGCCCCTAGGATGACCATGTTGGCTCTGGGCGGCCCCGACAAACCCATGGCTTCGTGAAAGACCATCGATAGGCAAAACCGTGAAAGCACGGTGGGCATTCACATGAGACGCGTGGCATTCCTTACTTGTTCGTGCCAGACGAATCCGAAATGGATTCCAGAGGCCTCCGAAAAAGGACCGAAAAAGAAGGCCCCCGATAACCTCTTGGATCGCCCACGACATGTCCAAGATGACCCGAGAGGGCCCCGCCTAACCTCCAAGACGACCCACGACGGTTCCAATTCAGGCCAAGACCGCACCGAAATAGCACCAATCATCCTGCAGACAGCCCCAACAAGTTCCCACACGGAGCTCATCCCCCCAAGGAGGCGCAAGATGATCCCGGGAAGCCCCAAAAGGTCCTCCAGAGAGGCTAAAGAGGGCTCAAAAGACGGCACCGAGAGGACCCTCAGGCGGGCCCAACTGTTCGGCCACATGAGTATCGAAACTGCACCCTCAACTATCACTAGTTGAGAGAGTTGCGCGTTAGTTTCCCCTCGGTGCCCCATTTCCCCTCGCCTGGTGGTGCATACGCACGGCAGCGCAGCCGAAAATCATGCACGCGCGTCACGTGTTTTGTGTCACTGAGGTCTCGGGTTTCGGATGGTGGGAATTATCATGAATCGCTGGGAGTACTGTCTCCGTCTGTGAGAGCGACAGGGGCGGCAAATGTTTCAGCCTTGAGCCCGACAGCCGGGCACAAGGTGTCTGCAAAACTCTGTGCCCTGAAATCCCCCTGGTCCCGCTTGTCGGGGCCCTAGGCGTGAAACCTATAAGCTAAACCTACACACGAAAAGAGGAGGCCTCGCACATGCGTCGAAATGATCGTAGGTTTGGCGGCGTCAAAACCCATTCCCTGCTGTAGTGGATGGCGACGGAGAACGCAGTGATAATAGACAGCAACAGGGAGAGAGAGACGATAAATGACGATTGGAAAATGGAATAGGCAGAGGCGGCGGCGGAGGAGGAATGAGGAGGAAGAGGGACCACCGGGACGAACCACCACCGAACGGACCTCCAGGATCCCGGAGTCCAGGTACGCTCGCCAGGAGGGCATCTGACCATGTCGTAACATGTGGCGGGACGCCGATTGAGATCGGTCCTTGAGGGCTGGACTCTCCTTTCGCCGATCCAGGTCGGAGCCCTCGTCAACGAGGATGAGACGACCGTGTGAAGCGAGAGTGCGGCATTGCCTTTGGTGATGTCGTTTTTGGTCATGGAGTCCACGGGCATGCGCCCGTGGGGCGCCCAACGAACGGTCCCGCTGGCGCGCTCCAGCGCCTCGCTGATGATGGCGAGATCTATGGCTGTCCGACGATCGCGAGGACTAGCATTTTCTTCCTTCTGCGTCGTGTCGTAGATCGACTTCGCGACGACTACGTGGACCTGGCGCCCACGAGCTCCCAAGGGGCAGTCGCGGCGGAGCAATGCGGTGAAGGGACTACAAGCCCTGGCACATTCTGAAGCCTCGATACCACGGATGACAATTCCCCTGCACAGGATGTGGAAGTCCTCGACCTCGGCGACGGCAGCGGAGAGGGCCTGAGTCTCCCCGGCCAGTGATGACGGGACCTTGCGTCGGAGCTTAGAGCTCCGCCAACCAAGGATCGACGTCTTGACGCTCGAGTTCTGGAGGATGGAGCTGTCCGCAGCTAGTACCATCCAAGCCCCCTGTGTCGGATCCATGGGTCGGCCCCGCTCGTCGCTGAGCTTCTCGATGGAGCCGACCCCGCCAGCATCCGAGAATGAGATGAATGCCATCTTCTCGGGGTCCAGTCGCCACAGCATGATCCCGCGGGATGCTGTGGCTCCCAGGTGACGCGCGAGCTTGTTGGCGCATATGACATCGCCAGTGGTAGGAGCACGGAGCCGACTCGCGAGAATCGAAGCCCCACCTGAGGCCTGCGGCCGGGATTCACGTCCGACCCAACTGAATCTATAGACGAGAAAACGTGGTGCCCTGAACTCGGCCTGATCCAATGGCGACTCGCGCTTGGACAGCCGTCTTGGAGCCCCTGGTCGCGGGCGATGTTTCTGCCCCAATCCCCGAGTTTCGCCCGAAAAGTCTGGCCGCTCAGAAGAATGGGAAAACCCTGGGATACACCCCAAGGGGGCTATTCGGACGCACCCCTATCGAGAATGGACACCCCCCCATCGTATATCCCAGGGTTAGGCCCCAAATTTCTGGTCCATTCGGAAACCCCACGAAGCCTGGGATAGGGGTCGACATATCCCCTGTTACCTGGGCCGCGTCACTCGAAAAAAAACCAAGAACCCGGCCATGGGAGCCTCCCGGGAAACGCTTCACTCGAACAGATACGAGGAAAGCTGGCCATTACATCCGATATCCGCGGCCTTCGCCCCTCCCCTAAGACCCCTCCCTTTAGGGCTTCGCCCCACCTGGACGTCATCACTCGTGCCTCGCTCTTCCCGTTACCTGCTTGGCATGGCAGAGGAACGCGCGTGTATCTTGTAAGGGCGCGAGGTCGCCCTGTTAGTGTTAACACTTTGGTGCGACATGCGAAAATCTAACAACCAAATTTGCAACAAAAACAATACATGTTGTATTGTCGGGCCTTCCTAGGGATCCTTTTGGGGCTCGATTGGGCCGTTTTGGGGCCCCTTTGGGCCGTCCCGGGACCCTAGTCGTCTTGGCGCGCTTGGGCCGTCTAGGGGCCCGCTGGAGGCCCTCCTGGGTTCCCTGGTGGACCTCCTGTGGCCCTCCTGGGACTCTCTCGGAAACCTTTTGGGACCCTCAGGTTCCTTTCTTGAGCTGTCTTGGGGCTCTCTTTGGCCGTCTTGACGCCCACTTGGGCCGTCTTAGGGGGCCTCTGGGGCCCTCCTGGGCCGTTTTGGGCGCTGCGAAAACATTACGAAGCGAATATGCTAAACATGCATGTTCTCCTCAGAGAATGGGACGATGTTTGCATCTTGGGGGTCCCCTTACGGGCCCCATGGGGCGTCTTGGGGGCCTCTTGGGCCGTCTTGAAACTACATTGGGCCCTCTTGAAGCGCTCTTGGGCTGTCTTCGGGCCCTCTTGGACCTCTCCGACGCTGTCTTGGAAGTATATTGGTCGCTTTGGGGGCTGTCTTAATCTTAGGCCGTCTTGGGGGCCTCTTCGGCGCTCTTGGGGCTGACTTGGGCCGTCTTGGACTGAAAATTACAGAATTTAGGGCCTTTAGATCTGGGTGCGGGCTGACCCTTGTTATTTCTCCCGACTAAATGGATCGCGACGCTGCGCGCGCTTTCCGTCATCTGGGCGCGGGGCTGCCCACCCCCCACCCCCCCTCTTATTCATCCCGGCTAACGGATCGCGACGCTACGCTCGCGTTCCGTCATCCCCCGCCCCCTGTCGGCTTGCCACAGAGATGCCTGGCGTCCTAAACTTCAGACAGCTTGGTTTCTGTAAACCGAAGTCAAAACTCCTCCTGGGGCTTCGGCTCATTGCGCCGGCCACCCGGACTGCTTGCCTGGTGGTGGTTGGCAAGGATTCGTCCGTTCCAAATGGGTCCAAGATCGCCTCCAAGACGGCAAAGGTGACCTCCAACTTCGCCAATCACGGTACACAATGGCCTCCCAGACGGCCCAAGAGAGTACGCCCCAGAAGCCTCCGAGACGGTCCAAGAGGCTCCAAAGAGGCCTTCAAGACGGCTCAAGATGCCTCCAAGAGGTCCTCCAGGAGGACCCGAAGAGGCCAAAATCATTGATTGTTCCCCATGCTTTTCAAGGGTTTGGGCATTCGCTTCTTTTCGGCCTTCTGACGGCCCAAGAGGCCCCCAAGATCGCCCCCAGAGCGCCCAAAAGGCCTCCAAGATGGTCCCGGGACGGCCCAAGAAGCCGGCAAGATGGCCCAGAGGGGGACCCAAGATGACCAAAGAGGCCTCCATGACGGCCACGATAACCTCCAAGACGGCCCTGAAGCGACCCAGGAGGACCCCAAGACGGACCAGAGAGGCCCCCAAGACGGCTCCCGATGGCGTCGGACGGCCTGGGAACGCCCTAAGATGGCGACGGCCAACGAAGTCCCGAACAAGCCCCCAAAGGGCCCCCCGGAAGCCCCCACGAGGCCGAAGGAAAACACTGAGAGGCCCCCAAGAGGCTCCCAAGAAACTCCCATGAGACCCCAAGAGTGCCCCAAGAGGCTCCCAAGAGGTCTACTCTTCCTCCTCCTTCTCTTCCTCCTCCTCCTCCTCCTCCTCCTCCTCCTCCTCCCTGTTCCTTCGTCTCTTCATTATCCTCCCTCTTCCCTTCGTGTTCCCCGAAGGGTTTCAACGACTGCTGGTGGAACGCATGGTCCGATAGCTTGGCCAACTTCTAGCCCAACTTTCGGTCACATAGGCGCCTCTAAAAAGGTCGGGGGCGGCGGTGATTCGCCGTAGGCGTCTTCGACAAATCCGAATTAACTCAGAGCAGGAAATTGCAGTGGCTTGCTGGAGAGCCCGTTGGCTGGCACTGGCCCTGGTTAACCCCGCATTGCCGCTTTCCCTGGTTCGTGGCGGGGGAGGCTCTTGCCCGCCGCTAGCCTCGATCAGCCCCGAATCTCCGAATACCCTGGTCCGTTGGGCATCCGATCGGCCGCCACTGGCCCCACCGATTGCTCTGATTCGAGGGAATTCCATTGGCCGCCACTGGCCCCGACTAGCCCCGAATGGCCGCATGCCTT